TATTGTACATAGCGCATTTGTGAACGGACGCGAGACGTGTTCGATTCACGAGTTTTATCCTTTGGTATCTCCCGGCTATAAAATTGTAGAATCACCTAATAATCTGATATATTATCCCGTATTGACTAATCAAATAGACAACGTAAAAATTGAAATTAAAGATCAGAACGGTGAACTTGTCGATTTCAGAGGTGTAACAGTTTGTGTTCATATACGCTATGGGAATACAATATAACGTTAAAAGAAAACGTTTTCTCGACATTGACAACAGTTGTGTTTCAAAACTTCTAGTGTTAACAAGAGAAAGCTTGAATACTCTCTTGAACTTTGTTTACACGCTCGCAAAACATTATGGAAGACATTCTGAACATACACGAAAAGCCGTACTTCGAAGAAAGTATAACAAAATTTGAGTATCATTTTCTAGTAATGCGCTGTCGAATAACGATGAAATACAGATTGCGATACAACATCAAGATTTATATACTCTTCCCAGTGAATCGTTGCTATACATTGAAGGCGAAATAGAGAAAAGTATGGAAATAGGTGAGAGTGTGTCATTTATAAAATTAATTAACAACGGTATTATGTTCCTGTTTGATGAAATTCGTTACGAATTAAACTCGGTTAAACTTGATAAAGTAAGAAACCCTAGTATAACAACATGTATGAAAGGTTATTCCTCTTTTCAAACGGCAAACTTTTACTGATATCAGAACGCTGGATGGAATGAAAGTGGTGACAGTAAGTCGAAATTTGAAGTTTGTATACCTCTCAAATTAATCATTGGGTTTGCGGAAGATCATCGTAAAATTATAATAAGTTCTCGACAAGAACTTATATTGCATAGATCCAGCGTGGATATTAACGCATTAAAATGTGAGCGAGCAAATAGTAAAATAAAAATCGCAAAAATAATGTGGAGAATGCCACATATAAACGTAGAGGATAGTGTTAGATTAAAACTTTTGAAGACGTTAGATTCTCGTAAACCACTTTACATCGCTTTTAGAAGTTGGGAGTTATTTGAATATCCGTTTTTACCACAAACAACAAAACATTCGTGGGCCGTTAAGACATCTACACATATTTAAAAACCTAGATATGTGATTATAGCGTTTCAAACTAAACGTAAAAACAATATATCTGCAGATATGAGCCGATTCGACCACTGTTCTCTATCATCACTCAAAGTTTTTTTAAATTCAGAATCTTATCCATATGACAGTTTAAATATTGATTTTGATAATGATAAATATTCAGCGTTATATCAAATGTATTCAACATTTCAAGATAGCTTCTATAATATTGAAAATGGTGAACCTATTTTAACTATAGAAGAATTCAAATATACCGCGCCTTTGGTTGTCATTGATTGCTCGAAACAGAATGAAATAATTAAGTGCTCCTGTAGACGTTCGTATTGAATTCGAAACCAAGATTCCTATACCAAACGATACGTCAGCATATTGCTTTATATTACATGATAAAATTTTCGAGTACAACGCAATGACTAGTGAAGTATACAAGGTAGTTTAATCTATGTTATTTAAAATCAACACATTTACAATGGTAATTTGTATATTATAATTTGTGAAAATTTACAATTGCAATTATTATATTATTTTTAAATTTTTTAAATAAATAATTATCATTGTAAACAATTTTTTTTATTTTTGTTTTTCAATTTTTTTTCATACTCTTCCATCGCCTTGAGAGTTATTAAATCTATTTCTAATGCTCTTTTTTCATCGTAAAAATCATTGTTCCAACACGCAACGTTTCCTAAATTTATAATTATTATAATTACAAACATTATTTGTTATTATTATTATTACTATTATTATTTTTTAAATATATGTTATTACAATGCTCAAATGATTTTTACTTACGTTTTATTTCTTCGTTATGTAATATAGGTCATTATTTTGTAAAACTGAAAACAAAGCATTTTTGTAATGTTTGGTTTAACTATGAATTTCTTGATCTATTATTATAAACCTATATTTGTCTATTATTTGTAAACCTAGAAGTAGAATATTTTTGTAATGTTTAGATTAATTGTAATTCCCAGAATTATTGTTAATAGACCCAGAAGTAAATATTTATAAACATTTTTGAAAATGATTACTATCGGAATTTTATAAAAAGAAAAATAAAATATGTTAGTATATAAGACGAAATTAGATGAATTGAAAAGGGCAGAAAGAGAAGACCTCGGGAGTACCAAAGGTAATCTCTTTCCGCGTGATACGTTTGTGACATTAAGTTTTCATTTTGTGTATTATTTATTTATCCTGTTTTAAGTGTATCAATATTTTATACGTTTTACTTTGTTTGATTATATCTTTATTTACTACATTTTGCATTATTATTGAACTATTATAACTATAAGTTAGAACAAAAAGATTATTCCATATTTAAATACAACAAAGTAGCGCCCAACGTACTTGAGGGCTTGAACCAACGACCCCGAGATTAAGAGTCTCGTGCTCTTTATTATTCTACTGTATCTTCCTATATACAGTTATCATCATCATCCATAGATTTTACAATATGATCCAATGTGTCTTGAGCAATTAACTCCATCAGACTATTTTCTATGTTTGAATTTTCTGTCGGTTGAGAATCTAAGTGAGAATTCACCAAAGAGTTTGCATTATCCTCCCATGTTGCTTGAGTAATTAACTCCATCAAATTCTCCTCCATACATGAATTTTTCCATTCGATTCAACAAACGAATCAACATATGATTCATGACCAAATAATTTCTAAAAACCCTTTCACGTAAATTTTTGTTTATTAACATTATGTGTTTTAAATAAAATAATTTCCATATTCATCGCCCACGGTGGATTTTGAACACAATCGATTATGGAATATTTATCGGATGATTCTATTTCGACTTGAACGGGATAATCTTCCATGAACTAAACATCAGGGAATAATTAAGTCAGTCTTCAGTGTTTTAAAAATATATTAATTGTATTATAATTATATAAATAGATATATCTTAAATTCTTTCCAAATCTTGTGAGAATTCTTCAATATTTATACTGCTTAAAATATTAAAACATTCTTCTTCGATACCCGACAATGAATCAGTTTTCTTGTTTAATATTTTTTAAACATTTGATGTGGGTTTCAATTCCAAATAATGACTAACACCCTACAGTCTCTTTACACTCACAGTAAAATTCAAAGTGATGATTTAGCTTTTCTTATGATACTGTGTTTGGTTTAAATTTGTTGACGTTTAAAAGAAAATAACATCTGGAGAGAATTCCATGAAGTCTAACGTATATTTTTGAATTTTTAACACGTTTCGTTTTTTTGCAAATTTATTTAATACTTGGGTGCATGTACAAGTCCTATCCACCTCAATAACAGCAACCATAATTTTGCAACTAATGTCTTATATGTAGTATTTAACCCATGTGAGTACAACATTTTTAACATGATGATTATAAGTTCTTAAATAATAACCAAACAGCGATTAGACGTAAAAATATTTATTTTTTCTCAATTAAAAATGAGTTATAATACGTTATATTATTCATCATTTTATAATCATTTTAGTAATATTATCGTTTTCTATTATTAAACAGTTGTTCGAAAAACCCGTTACAACTTTGAATATCATCAACATCATCGTAAATATTCTTGTAATGATTTTCCAAAAGATCTGGTTCGTTATAGTTATTTCTAAAAATATTTAATTTAATTTAGTTTTATACAATAAACAAACCAAGTAAAGTATTGACCAAATATTTTCATTTGTCATTTGCATAATATACTGATTGGTTTGATGTTTGAAATCCACTATGAATTGATCCCAAATACGTTTAATAATACATTTATAATCAAAAGTAACGATTTCTTTGTACAATGCTGTCGATGTTTTTGACATAATTGATATATCCGTATATTTGACGATGGAGTACATTAAATTTCGGGTAATTGTAAAAACTTGTTTATTACTAAATCCTTTATTTTTTCAGAAACTTCTTTACTCTGCATACACAATAATTTACAAGTTTCTAATTTCTCTTTTGCTACCTCCAGAAGACATGATTTCATTTCTTTCAGAACAATTAGATTTTCTTCCGTCAATGATATACGTCCCATTCTATGTTCTTCAATACCATTGCCCGAAATCGATAGATAATTTTTCGAGAAACATTTAGATTTTACAATATTGAAATTTGTGTTTAGATAAATTTTTGATTTACATGAATCATCCATGAACGATATCATTTCATACATTAAATGTAAAAAATCAGTAAACTTAAAGATGTCCATCCATAAATACATAGTATGTGTTATTATTATTACCACTGGTGAATAACGATCGTTAATCCATGTGCAACCGATGTGTCTGAATTTTCTATTTATAAAACTCAAATTGAATACAGACGTTCCCAGCATAACAAAATCGGGTTGAGATGGATAACGCGTGGATAATTTAACATTTTTTACACCTGCACTTGTGTTCATATTGAATATCGGACTAATATATTTCACTAGTCACACACGATAAGGACATACGACAACACAATAGAATTTTTCTTACGTTCAACCGCGATTTATAGATATTTCTGAAGAGGGTGGGGAAGGATTTGAAATATGGTTGGTTGTTCATTCAAAGAAACAAAAATAATAAATCTCATTTGGTGGGAGAAGGAATGGCAATTTTATCTTTACAAGTATACGAAGGGAGGCGGTAAAATATGTTATCAAAATTTAAAATGAGGCGCTAAAATACGTTTTATCAAATTGCTTCATTGTTAAGCATTACATACAATCTCCTACTTGACGGATAAATCCCAAATTTCGCACAACTCATTTTTAACATCAAGAAGTTATATTAGAAAAATTAAAAAACAAAAAATTATTTTTCAATTTTTCTAATAATATAAATAATATATAATAACTCATAAGTTATTATTTCAAAAACTAAATATGATGTAAAAAAATTAAAGACACATTTGGAATCAGTGTTGAAATTTCATAAAAAATTTACTAAAATATTGTAGATAACAGACATTTTTTTACTATTTATTGTTTTATATAATTTTTAAAAATTAAATTTTTTTTAAACACTTAAAACAAATCTGTCGTTGTCCATCAATATTTATAAATCTTAATTATAACGATCCAGCTTGATGCGGTCAGTATCTTCAGTATCATTAGCCAATACAATTATTTGAGATGTATCCCCCAGTTCGTATCCTTCGTCTATAGTCATGTTATCTTCTCGAAGTACCGTTGGCAAAACTTTATTTTCTTTACTCCAATCGCGAACCAAATTTTCATACGGCTCAATAAGATCCTTATTTTTCTTTAAATTTGTTAGTTCATTAGCATATAATAAACAACAGTTGCGCAACATATTTCCGTGCTGACCGCGTTGAAAAATATACTTGAACAAAGTATTTGCAACATCGTTAATTTCATCATAATCATCACAACGTAGAATATCTATACTCCTATTCAATAAAAATGTTTCAAATTTACGAGTAAATTTGTTTTGAGAATCTATAATAAAAATAATTAAAAGATTAAAAACGTTAATATAATAACTATTTATTATATTACAAAATATCTTCTAATCTAATATTTATTAAATATTTAGTTTGGTTAATATTAATTTTTATAGATTATGTTTACTTGAATTTTATATAAAAAAATTGCATACCAATTGAGTAGAAGTTAAAAAAATAGTTCAATTTTAATCTATGTAGAAAAGTTAACTTACTTATGATTTCCTTATTATCCAAACCATAATTTTGGAAACAAGTTAATAAGTTCTGCTTTGACTGCTGAATGGGGTCATTGGATTTTACCTGTAAATCTATTATTAGTCAATGGAATATTCGGTACAATATTTTTATCATTAGAAATATGTAACATAAAGTAGGAAAGCAAGAAAAGTATGAAAAGGTCTATGTTAAATAAATAAATTATTAGAGTTTTCTAAAATTTAAATCCATAATGTTGAAATTTTACTATACTCTATCTGACTAATGAATAAATTTAGGTTATAATTGAATATCCAGTGTATAAATATAGAAAAATTGAATTTAGAAACTTTTAATATAAAATTTGTAAAATAAAATGTCATTTATTCACACAATAGTATTTTTAATATAATTTAAAAATATTAATTTATAGTGTTATAATTTTACTCACGAGATTTAAAAAGAAAAAAAAACAAATATATTTCGTAAAAATCATTTTTCTGTCAATCTTAACTTATAAAATAGTATTAGAAAAATATCTTTAACGTAATAGCCAATTGCTATTTAAATGTTTTAACCTTTTAAAATTATATTGAATCAAATAATGAATGAATATTAATAACATTTGTTCAAACGAAACTCAACCTGTGTTTGTCACATATATAATATTTTATTTCAAATTCATAAATACACTTTGTGAATGTTTCAAAAAAGTTATGTAGTTCCTTATATTTTTAAAATATGTATAATGATAGTGTTAACGCCACATAATTTTATTACTGTTCTATTACTTTTTTTTAAATTTTCGGTTAGGAAATTTTATTTATAACAAAATCCAGCACAGTGGGATCGCGGAATAGTGGGGACGNAAAAAAACCCAGCACAGTGGGGTCGCGGCATAGTGGGGATGTTGCATAGTTGGGTCCAGTATAGATTTAATCTGACAGTGATTAAAATCACTATCATAAGAAACGCTTCGATGCAAATCTATAGATAGTGTTTAATACTAAGAAATTGATGAATAATTACAAAAGCAACTATAACCTTAATATTAAAATAGCATATTTTTGATTACGGTAGCCATTTGTGCATAGAAGAAAAAGTGTCGGGACAAATTTTTTTTTTCATTTTATAGTACATAAAATAAGCTTTAATTTGATATATGTTTAAAGGACGCAGTATTTCCGGAACATTTTCAAAAGTTCAGTTGAAAAAGATCTATGTTTTTTACAATATTTTAAGTTTTGAACGCCCCCTATATAAGGGGAAATTGTCCAATTTTAATAAAAAGTATGTCAAATGAAAGATGTACTTATAATGTATTTAGAAAAAAAAAATTTGTGCTGATATATACATTTTTCAAAAAGTTATAGCATTTTTAAGTTGAAAATTTAAAATCGAAAATCGAAAATTTTAACACAAAAATAGTGTTTTTTTAACTACGGCAGCCGTTTAAATGTAGAAAAAAAAGTGTCGGGACAAATTTTTTTTTTTCATTTTGTAGTACATAAAATAAGCTTTAATTTGATATATGTTTAAAGGACGCAGTCTTTCCGGAACATTTTCAAAAATTAAGTTGAAAAAATTAATTTTTGTAAAAAAGTTGCCATTTTAAATCCCCCCCAATGAGCAGGTTAAGTGATAGATTTTCAAAAAAATGATATCAAATGAAAGGTAAATATCTTAAGGTTTTAGTATAAAAAAAATTATGTAGATTTGTTAATTTTTAAAAAAGTTATGGAAGTTTTAAGAAAAAAAAGTGAAAAAATTTCGAAAATTAGCGATTTTTAAATTTGTAATTTTTTTGGATATTTCCCCCATTTGCGGGGAACGAGGGAATTTTTTTCAATTTTTAAGGGTAATGTCTTCAACTAGATACAATTTGTGATCTCTTGACGTATTGTTGAAAGAAATCGGTCCAGTGAGAGCTGAGAAAAAGTGGCAACAGACATAAAAAAAAAAACAAATAGTATAATTAATACCTTCTCCGATTCGCATCGAAGCTAAAAAATACTTTTAAAATTTTAAAATTGGACAAGTCATTTTTGAGATTTTGTTGTTTAAAAAGCATCAATTTTGAGTTTGGAAGCACAGTTTGCCACAGTAAAAACTAATCAATGTGTAATTCCGTAGACACAATAATCATAAATTGCCTGATTATTGTTGCTTGGTTTATCTAAATGATCGTATTTGAGCATGAAACGATCAATAAATATTGTTATTTGATATTGTACCTTATCAATGGAATTATTAAACATCAATAAAAATATGATTTACGATTGAATTTTTTTCACGTTTACAAGTGAAAGTAGATAGTTGTTGAAAAACATGTGTGTTATCAAATTAAATATTTTAGTCAATCATAACCAATTGTTCGTTGTTATTCGTCAAAATGATTTTAACGCGTCTTTTTCATTTTACGGCATGAAAATTTAAAGGTCAGATATTTTCAAATTGACTTTTTAATTTTTTAACTCTTTATAATTTTCTGTAAAAATTAATCAATTTGAGAAATTATTATTTATAATAACTATTGTACTATTATCATGTTGTGCTACATTTTTTTATTGAGAGTTTTTAATTTATGTGGTTTAATTGTATTTTAACAAACATAATATTATGAGGTTGTCGTTTTATGAAAAATATCACATACTCTTCCTTACAACGGACATATGTTACTAAATTAAACACTACTTTTATACATAAATAATTTATTATGTAATTAATTTAGTACTTGACTTAGAATGTTAATATTATTACTTTCAAAGTTACTCAGCTTGCAATATGTATAATTTTTTTTTTTTAAGTTCTATCTATTAAAATCAATAATATTAAAAACCAAAAAGTTTTACCTATAGAATCTTATTGTTCTGCACAGGGGCGGACTGGCTATGTGTGAGGCCAGTCGGAAATTTTTCGCTAGAGGCCAAAGAGGCCATAATTAATAGCAGATCTTAGGGGCCTTGGCCTCCAGACCAAGTATTTTTTCTTATTTATGTATACATCTTCTATCTTAAGTTATTAATAGTCTGCTAAAAATAATAATGTTATCTGAAGAAAAAAAATGTGAATTGAACTAAAAATGTGTTCACATTACTTTATACCTTTATAAGTATATTACATTTTTAACAATTTATAAAAACTTAAAATTAATAAATATTAATAAGTATTTTTAATAATAAGTATTGTAGTAGTATATTTAATAATAAGTATTTTTACTTATAAGTACTATTGAAAAAAAAAATGACTATTTTAACAGCTTATGCCATTAGAAACCTCTTTATTTCTGTTGTATTGGCAGCCAATTGATCGATAATAATGTTATATGGTACTTCCATATCACGTTCAAGCGACATTAACATAAATGCTTCTAATTTTTCGTCAGACAGATATGATCTTAATCGATTTTTAATTTGTTTAAGGATTAAGAAGCTTCTTTCGCAAGTTACTTGTGTAAACGCTAAAGTGGTTACCAGCTTATAAGTAGTGTATAATTCGTTATAATCAATTGAGTGAATAACTAATGAATACAAAAACTCGAATACACATGAAATGCATGACTTATATTTCACTTTATTCGCCACAAATTTTAGCTCTTTTTCTGAATCTTTTTCATTGTCACTAATTTCATCTTTGATTGTACTATTCTGGCTATTACTTACCAGACACACATCTGCAAATGCATCATTTCTGAGCGAATTCAATCAATTGACGTTGCACCACCAAAATTGTTGAATGTTGAACAATGCATTGTTGATAACTGTTTTGTACACTTCGACTTCAAACCTTTTTTTCCATCTTTTGTTATTATATCGGTAACTAATTCACCTGGCATTTTTTTTTTTTTTGTCGAATTCTGTTTTTCATTAATTCACAAGATCATGTTGTGTTTTCGATACCATCTATATTTTCCTGTATGGATTGGAAATATTAGGCAAATTGTGTTGCTTTTTCAAAAACTGGTTCAAAATTATTAACATCTTCTACTAATTTAATTTTCAAGTTATTTAGCAATGAAAAAGCCAATGTATAATTTAATCTTTTTGATTGAAGACATGCTGATGCTAAAGAACTTAGGGAAAATAATGACAGAAAAACAAATGCCTTTTTTTGGCATTTTTTATTGTTTCAAATTTTAACAATTTGTTAGCTATACTTTGGGCTTCTAATTTTATGACTGAGTCAAAATCATTAGAATTTGCTACGGCTAACAAAGCTTTGATGACCTATTGTTTTCTTCATTAGGCGTACTTATTGGGTCAAATACGTGGTTTAACGCAACGTCTATACTCCACCAACGGGGGTTGTCCAATCTTTTGTAAGCGAAGCATTTTGTCAAACCCAACGTGATTTTCAACCACAGTTCTTTTCCATTTTGCCATCCGCTTATAAGACTGACCAAAAAACACTGCTAAACGGTCTAGCAACAAAAACAAATTCACTGCTACAGGACATGAACTAGCTGCTTGAGTTAGTGTGAAATTTAATATATGACTAAAACAATGAGTGTGTAAGAAGTTTGGAGCATCTTTTTTTATAAGAGCCTGTAAACCACGATGGATTCCATTGAGATTAGCTGCTCCATCATAAGCCTGACTGACTATATTAGTCAACGATAAACCAACATGTTCAAGACCATTTTTAATAGTAGTATATAAATCGACTGCTTTTGAAGAATCTACAGGTAAAAATTTAATCAAGCGTTCTTTAATTTCACATTTAACTACATAACGAATGCAAATAGCTAATTGGTCTGTTACACTAACGTATTTTTTTCTTTAAGAAGTTAAAAAAACATTTTAAATTTCAGTTTTTTTTTATAAAAAATTTCAGTACTATTTTTGTTAGGATATTTATGGTCGTTAGCGACATGAAAATTAAATTTAAAAAATATATATATTTTAGAAAATAGTGCTGAAGCCACAATAAAAAAAATTAAAGTATTTAATAAATTATTCGATGATTGCAAGTTTTATGCTTCCAAATTCCAGGCCTCTAAATATAAAACTATATGTTAGAAAACTTGTAGGTATTACATTTACAACTAAACTAAGAACCTATAATTAATATCTAGATGGCTAGATGGTAAATTTAACTTTAAAGCGAAAAGGAAAGAACGCGTCAGTCAATTTTCAAAAGACGGTCAGACAATATTAAAATGTTGGTAGGTAAGGAATAACATAATAGACGGCGGCCGTTGAGTAATTGCACCGCGTACTGTAAAAATACCTACCTACGTCCTACCTAATTAATTTTTAATTAATAATTTATAATCATTTCAAAAGTCAAATAGAGCCATAATTTATAATTATTAATAAATAGGTAATAATTCATTTTATTGTTTTTATACTTTTATTTAATAGAACGTTGCAATAAATCCTCAAATCATACAACATTTAGTGCGGGCTGCGGAGTATCGTAATATGCTCAATGCTTTGCATTACGCATCTTACAATTATCAATAAAAAATGTATAAATTGTATTTCAAACAACTTGTAAACAAACAAATAATTTATCTGTCATAACAAATACGATGTTCAACACAATATCTTATTATTTATATATAAACAGAGTGGCCCAG